CCCCCCCCCCCCCCCCCAACAATTACAGCTGGAGATATTTAGAAATCGACCTCTCCTCGAATTGGTTCTTCCTCATACCCTTTTGACTACATAAACTTGTGGCAATAGTTTCCAAGTTCATTAGATCCAGATAATGGGGTGTGCAATAGACTCACCTCCACGCGGTGCACCCTGGGCAACGTATACTCATACGGTCTATTAACCGGCATTTGACTTACTTCAAAATACTATGGCCCACACTGGCAGTTGACTTCTCACTTCAAACTACCATCACCCCTCACTGGCAGTTGCTTTCTGACTTCAAACTACCATCACCCCACCGTAAACCGGCAGTTGACTTCTGACTTCAAACTACTATGGTCCGACTATAGTTGACTTCTGACTTCAAACTATCATCACCCCACTGCACTGGTCATATTCGACCCCTTTACAGTACTCATCTTACCTTTTCCCTACCTTTAATTCGCCCCCTTTCACAGTACTCATCTTACCTTTTTTATAACTTTGTGTCATATCTGTCTGTCTCTTTTACGTCTGTGAATCATTATTCTGTCATCTGTCTGCCTCTTTTACATCCGTGAATCGCTCTTCTGTTTCCCTGTCTGCCTCTTTTACATCTGTGAAACGCTCTTCTGTTCTAATCGCTCTTCTCTTCCCTTCTGTCTCTTTTACATCTGTGAATCACTCTTCTGTTCCCCGCCCCTCGACTTTCTGCTACTTTGATGAACCTTCCCTCTGTGATACCCGAAGTCAGCTATCAAAACGCCTGCCATTTGAAATAAATAGGTTCAGATAATCTTGATACACCCACGACGAACTCGCATTTCCTCGAGGACTAAAACTGGCAAATGAAAGTGCATCGATCTCGTGACCTCCAAACTGGCAGACAAATCTGTTGATCACGGCGGTAAATCTTACATGATGAGCTCCAAGGTAATTATGGAAATCAGCAAACGAAGATATTCAAACTCAAGTACTTCATCGAGAAATCAACAAGCTGTTTAATAATCTTAAAATAGATTTTCATTCAACCAATCGCTATTGAATATATCTCCTTCCAATTATCTTACTCGAAATTGTACTCAAACAAGGCCAAATAAAGTCAAACCGCATAGATGATGAAAAATTAAGTTGTAGCTTTGAGAAATAAGAAAGTACAACACAGAGAAGAGTAGAGTTGCAGGGAAGGGCGGGTATTAGGAAGTAGTCGGGCGTTATGCGGCAATGGGAGAACTGTTCACCAAAACGCGACCGAGATTGTTCAACACGATGTGATTTCCAGCTCCGACCTCGCGGAGTAGAATAGGTGGCATTTCCTACCAATTGAAAAGTAGCAAATGAGAAAAATACAAGTACACATACCCTAATTACCACTTTCATTTCATTAACGTTAATATTAATATTCTTGACAATTAAGTAGTGAGAAAAATTTTGAGAATATAGGAGGCAATAAATAGGTTAAAATGAAGAGGATTCGATTTGAAGCAGGAAATTAAGTCAGGGAACCAACGGAGTCTTTTATTACTTCGCTTACAAATTCATTGAGCTGTCCCCCCACCCCCTCCCCCTGTCTAGTTTTACAAGCTTTCGAAGTTGACACCCAAGTTTCTAACCCCCCCCCCCTTACTATGACTCAACGAATGTGTTTTACCACAATCCGGGCTCCACCAGATCGACTCTGATCCTGCCCCCCTTCCCTTCATTTCTAAGTTCCTATTCTAACACCGCTCTCCTCTCCATTCTCTTTTCCTTTCGTCGATCTAATGCCAACTTCTCGATTCAATCATTCTTACATTGGGTAAAGATTGGATAACCCGTTAGCCTTCAGGAAAGTCCTTCGTTTTGTACTGCAGCTACTTTAAAGGTGAAATCGGAGTCTACTATCGAAATGAGACTGGAGATTGCTTTGACTCTCCGTAAATCCATGAATTAAATAAGAATTTATACACACAAAATGCTAATCAATTAGTACAGTCTAGACATCACATCTACGCTCACTTATTCTAGCTCCCAATCTCAAAGTACGTCTTTTCATCAAACCAACTTTCACTTGACTTGACGCAAAAAGTCCTGACCCGGGTCAACCATGTACCTTAGCACCCATAACTACACAAATGAGCGATAACAATACCTTCTAAGCATGTTAAGAATAGAAGGAGTGGGATGTGGATTGACGAACCTGCAATCCCGTCATTACTGGAACGTATTCCATGGTCAATCGAAGTGAGGCTCCAGGAGCTAGATTCTCTAGCCGTTTATTGGTCACTCCAGTCCAGATAAAGGCAGGAGAGGCTGATGTCGACACAATTGATGCATCTAATTCACTTAAATTGGAAGTATTCGACAATGAATCTGGTCGAGTTAACAGTAGTTCCAAGATACGAGTACTAGTTGGAACAAGCGGAAAATAAGTTGAAATGATTAAAACAGGATGCTTAAGCGAGAATGGGCAAACATGCAACTAGTTTAAAGTACTTCAGTAAAAGTCCATTATTTCAAATATATGATCACTACAATTTATCCCACAATAATATGGTAAAACAGAATGATAAGTCTATAAGATTGAAAAAAGGAAAATAATCTGAGAAATTTGACCAGAAAAGTGAGTTGACGAAAGATTGAGCTTACCTTCTATTAGTCAACTCACAAACGAGTTTAAAGGGGTCTTGAACAGTAACCTGTGTCGGAAGCTCAATAACTTCCATCGAAACATCTCTGTAATGGCAGGACTAAAAGGAATAAAGATAGATATTTCATGTCACTTTATTAAACCGTCACGTTAACGTGCAATAAATATTCAGATTGGCACGTAATAAAAATGCAGAATATGTGGTTGTAAATTTATTGCTACTGAAATGGATAAGGTAGATATATTTTATTCAAATCACCTACCTCAACCTTGCAATCCTGAGTCAAAAGACGGCCAGTTTCCCCCATAGCTGATCGCCATGCAATATCCATGTGTCCGAGAACATCGCCCACATTTAATGAATTTGAAGAGTTTGTGGAAGGATTGAGGGGTTGTGTGCGATAAAGAAGACGCCAGATATCATGTGGCGCCATATAGCCCGATGTCGATCGACGCGCTTGTTTATTTCTAATAAATGATGGCAAAAGTACTCATGTAGCAACATACCAAAGAGCGAGAATGGTTTCATTCCCCCCTCCCCTCCCCCTCCCCTTCTCCTCTCTCTCTCTCTGTAAATGGACATCATTAAATGCTAGTTTAAGACTAAAATAAATTAGACTATCCCAGAAAAAGGCCATGGAAAGTTAAAAGCCTAAGTGATTACTTTCGGTGCAACCTGAAGTTCAAAGGACTCAACAACCATATACTAATGGTCTCACCACCGTAATACTCATTGGCTAGAATAAAATTAGGACATCACATTGTTCAAAATTTAAAGCGGCAGTGTGAATTGATGTAAACAACTTTGTTAACATTTATTGCTTTGTGTTTGCTCTTTAAAAATGGCCGAATTTCCCAAAACTTATGAAAAGAAGATAAGTTTGCAAGGTAACACGCTTGCAAGTAATATAAGCAGATGATCATATACTCAAAAACGTGCCCAATTTCGGGTAAAATTAACAAATCGAAAATTAGCTATTCCGTTCAAGTATGGTAATGGATCAGTGTACGAAGACTATGCTTCAATTCAAGCAAAGACTTATGAACTGTTATTTAGACTCAAGGTCAAGTATATTATTTAATATAGTCCGGAGCAGTCAGGAAACAACAGACGAATGATTTATTACAATTCGAATGCCAATTTATTGCAAGAGAATTCTGTTCACATCCTTCATAGATGAACATGATTTCGTCTTGCAAATAGACTAGGCATAAGTGTATCGTGGAAGTCATAATAAATGGCGGATTTCAGATGGCGAATTGTCGCGCACATATTCACGGCTTTCCACTTCTAACAGTATTAAATAGTGAACCAAGAATTTCGGGATGACTAAGCGTCTTTCCAAATCCACCCTGGGATAGGCGAATTTGTCCAATTTACAGAAAGTCATTAATCAAAACAATGACACAAACGCCCCTCTGAGGCAATACAGGACTATGGGTTTGATATTAGATTACATCGAAGTAAAATGAGACTAATTTAAATGACAGTGTTTTTTAACGGTCAGAGTGATAAGTCATAAAGTCGGATCTAAATCTGTTAAATCACTTAAGTAGAAAGATGGTATTGAGGGAAAAAAATCGAAAATATTTATAGACCATGGAAATAGTAAAAGATAAGTTGCAAAAGACGCCTGCATTGAGTGGCAGATATGGTGCTCAAGACTGAAGGTTTGTAATTGGTTGTTTTCGTAATTCCACCCGTTTAAGCTCTTCTGATAATAGAAGGCCTAAATCAGAATTTGCCCATCAAAAGGTTAAGCGGTTATAACTCTTCCACCTTTGAAGTTACAGAGCTATTGAGGATATAAACCACAACCTATAACTGTTAAATTTAGTACCCACCTTGTCCAATCAACGATGGAATTCATATCGATGACCTTGAGCATGGGCCCAGGCTCGAATGCGATTCGTTCAAGCATAAGAGCCTGAGGAGTGAGATTCTCGATTTCAGCATCGATGTAGGTTTCAGAACCCTGTTAAAAAAATAATAAAACTATCAATAGAAAGTAAGACCCATGCAATGAATAAGCGGTATATGTCCCCAAGTAGTACAGTAGTCAACTTGTACTACTACTAAATGGATAATCCATTTTTTAAACTCAAGAGCTCCTGGTGCTGATACACACCCGAGAACCAAGTACGGGAGATAGTTCCTCAGTAATTAAGTAACAACTTCGAAATCAATAGGTACATGTTAAAAACGTCACTTTGGAATACGAAAAAAATCACTAACACAAACGTACTGAAGTGCGAATTTGGGTTGGTTTGAAATTGAAGGGTTTGTCCACCTAAAAAAAGAAAGGGAATTACATTTCCAATGATTGAATCGAGGGCCTACGGAATGATTATGCAACAATTCTCTTCTACTATGCAACTTAGGTGAAATAAGAACGATTAGGGGGATGGGTTGGAGCCGATTTGAAAGTTAGGTGGATTACAATTTTTGTACAAACGACAGTACGCAGAGAATTAAAGGATTTCAGATCAAGATATAATGGTAAATGGTGTGTATCTGTAGATAAATTGCACTCTAATCAAAATTGGAATACCAAATCACATCAATTATTGCTACCATTATAAGTCCCCCTATTTACGGAGTTGATGACAATGTATAACGCGAGTCAGATTAAAAGTAACCTACTTGACAATTGATGCGGATATTCATTCATCGCAATGCCTAATTTATATGAAACATCACCATTTCTGTGAATAAAGACCTATGTGGTAGGACTCAACACGTATGCTATCATAACCAATTGGCAATCGCGTCTTCCTTCTCATAACTCAGGATCTGAATAAGTCATCAGAACCGAGATGACAACTAAGAGTAGTAAATAGAGGAGGCAGAAGCTCACAGTATTTAATGATTTTACTCTTACTTAGACCTTATATTGACGGTTATGGGGTGCGCGATAGACTTACCTCCACGTGGTGCACCCTGGGCAACGTATACTCATACGGCAAAAAAAGTCTATCAACCGGCAATTGACTTCTCAATTCAAACTACCACGACCCCCCTGGTTGTCACATTCGACCCCTTCCACAGTACTCACCTTACCTTTTTCTCTACCTTTGTGTCTGCCTCTTTTACATCTGTGAATCGCTCTTCTGTTCCCCACCCCTCGACTTTCTGCTACTTTGATAAATCTTCCCTCTGTGAAACCCGAAGTCAGCTAAATGGCTAATGATATCTATCAAAACGCCTGCCATTT